CCCCGCTCAGCCTCGGCGCCTCCCATCGACCAGTGTCCTCAAGGAGCTCCCCACGGGGTGCGCAGGCCTCCCGGAGTCGCGCACCCGGGGAAGGTTCTGGTGGACCCGGAGAGCGGTCGCTACTACTTTGTGGAGGCGCCGCGGCAGCCCCGGCTGCGGCTGCTCTTCGACCCCGAGAGCGGGCAGTACGTGGAGGTGCTGCTCCCGCCCTCGTCCCCGGGGCCGCCCCGCCGCCTCTACGCCCCTGTGGCCCTGGGGGCCGGCCTCTACCCGCCCGCCTACGGGCCTATCCCTAGCCTCTCACTGCCGCCGTCCCCGGGCCCACCGGCCCTAGGCAGCCCCCAGCTAGCCTGGGCCTCCGAGGCGGGGCCCCTGGACGGCATGTACTACTTGCCGGTGAGCGGGACCCCCAGCCCGGCTGCTCCTCTGCTCCTCTGCGCCCCGCCTGCCAGCTCAGTTCCCGCGCAGCCGGGCAAGGCCTCCTTGCTCCCCTTGTGAGGCCCCAGCGCCTGACCCCCATGGAGTTGAGGCTCGATGCTGAGTGCAGGGCCTGGCATCCAGTCTCCTGTCCTCTCTGCTCACCTTTCTTTGGCCCAGTCTCGCCAGTCCTCAAACCGGAAGTGACTTTCAGAGACTGAGACCCTGGGGCTGATGGAGTTGGAGCTCAGGAAGTGGCTGCCTCCTTCCTTTCCCAAGAAAATTGTATATCCCTTTCCCAACCATTCCCAGGGTGTGGCGTGTACGTGTGTGCGCGTTTGTGTGTGGTTGCGGGTGTATGCAGGCAGCAGATAAGTAAACTTAAGGAGTTCCAGGGCTTCTCCCTAGGAGCAGACCTGAGGAGGTATGGGGGTTCCCCGGGGGCAACAAGCTCTCGGTCCTTCCCAGAAGACAGGCTGGGAAAGGGCCCTGGTTAACAAATCTGTTCTTTGGAAAAGGAGCTGAGACATGGCCTGGGCAGCTGTGGGGCAAGAGGCCAGTGCAGCTCCCAGGCCTGGCTGGGTTTGAGAAAGCAAGCTGTGGGGACTGCAAGTGAAGGTGGAGCAAGGATGTAAGGGAGGGAAGGGATATGGAGGGTCATCCTGGTTTGGGGGAGAGAGGACCCAGAGAGGTGAGCCAGGCAACTGGTCTTTGGCTGGGAGCCTGGCTCCTCATTCCTCCCTCAATCCCAGCCTCTGACTAGGCTTATCTGAGCCCTCAGAGCTGAGCTGGCTCTAGGCAGAGGCCAGGGGTGGAGGCTTCAGCCACTCCCATGCAGGTGGGGATTGGGTGAAATGAGTCATCGAGAAGGATACAGGGAAGAGGGAGGTGCTTGGGCAGTTGTCTCAGAGGACCCTCCTGGACCCTCTGGGTGGCTGGAGGGTGTCAGGACCAGAATATCAAGGATACTCCTGTGTGGGGTAGGCTAGAGGGACCTGAAGCTCTCTCAGCTGGGTCACTCCAGATGTGGCAACAATGCCCAGAGAGGGCTGGTCCCATAGGCTGGACCCAGCCCAGGAAGGGACAGGATCCAGAGCTGGTGTTCCAATAGATCTGAGATTCCTGAAGCCTCTGAGGGGGCTGAGGGAGATGAGGGAGGACCTGCATGAGGCGGGAGGTGGTCTGCGTGGGCATCTGTGTGTGGTTTTGAGCCTGAAACGCCTGGGCTTTGTCAGACTGGTGTGTGATGGGATGAGTTTGAGAAGGGATGATTCCCACCAGAAGCAATGTCGGGTGGGAATTGATTCCTATGGGTGGGCCCAGGTCCTGTGGTGTCTCTGCCCCCCCTTCCCCTGGACCAGAAGCTGACTAGGAGAACTGTAAGAATAACTTGGACATCTTGGCCAGAGATGCCATTTCCATGGCACGGAGGGCCCTAGAGCCCCCAGGCACCTCACCTCACCCTAGTGTGCAATAAATTGCTGACCTGCAGAGCCACAACTGGTGTGAGGTGTCTACTTTCCTGCAGCTGCCTCTTAACACACTCCGCAATGCCTTCCATGCCCAGGTATGGCCTGGGTAGAAGGGACACTAGGGCTAGGGAAGGAGACCAGGCATATCTGTCACACACTGTGGTGTCCCCACCTCAGTGAGCTTGCCTCCCAGGAAAGGAGCGGCCAGGGGCTTTAGGGTCAATCAGTCTTGGGTTCCAATTGGTTTTGTCACTTCTCTCTGAGTCTTTATGTCCTTGGACAGAATAAAGATGACAGTAACCAACTGCCTCTTTCCACGAGGTGCTCAGCACAGTGCGTGCCACTTGGCCCGGGTCACAGGCTGCGGGAACTGTCAGCTCCTGTGTGTCCTCACTCAGGCCCTGCCCCCTCTCCTGGCCTCATTGTTCACTGTCTGTGAAATGGAGCTAAGGCTGGCGTCCCACCAGCGGAAGTGCACACGTGGCATCTCCAGGGCCCTGGGGGAGGGAGGAGGTTGGTATGTGGTGTCGGTTCCCCATTGGTCTGGGCCAAGTGTCCCGTGGAGGCCCCCACTGCACACCTGCACCTCAACCACAGTCCTCACTTGCTGAGCCGGCTCCAGAGGCCATGAGGCTGCTACTGCCGTTGCTGGTGCTGCTGCTGCTGCTAGGAGCCTGGGCCATCCCAGGGGGCCTTGGGGACAAGGCCACACTCTCAGCCACTGCCCCACAGCTAGATGATGAGGAGAAGTACTCTGCTCACATGCCTGCTCACCTGCGCTGTGACGCTTGCAGGGCTGTGGCCTACCAGGTAAGTCTTCCCCTCAGCATTCGTCCTGCCCCTGCCCAGAGCACTCAGCAAGAATCCTCCATCTGCCTGACTCCGCTACTGACCTTTGATCCCCTACCACTGGGCACAAGCCCTACACTCAGCCTCCCCTGATACTGCCATCCCACCTCACTTGACCCTCCATACCTCCATTTACCCTTCTGCCTGCCCAACAGAGAGCAATTTGGGACACTCCCACATTCCTTCAGACAAGTAGGGAGTCACCTACTTGTCTTCCCAAACTCCTCCATTTCCAGGCCATCTTCGGTGTAGACCCCCTGCCAAATGTGACTGGGGTACTTCCATGTATGTGTACATGGCGCACACTTGCTAATGTGTTGAGCACATGCATGTATGAGTATGTGCATGTAGGGGTTCATGCATGGACCTGTTGAGTATGCCTGTGTACTTCTGTCTCTCTGAGGAAGCTCTCAATACATGTGTCATTGAAGATTGTACCGTTTTTGTTGCTTGATTTTTTTTTGGGG